CACCACATATTCTACCAAATTCAAATGATGGAAATGAGTAGTCAAGGGGAAAATGATGGGAACGAACTTTAGAGTGTTAGATACCAATTGTAATAATAATACTCAATCAAGCCATTAGTAATAGGATCCAAACCAGCATGCTGGCCCTAACTATTATCACATTTTTCTATATGCATGGAGCCCAAAACAGAAGCAAACTGATTGAGAAAATATTTAACAGAAATGACTAAAACAAGAGCTCTGAAGACATTTGACTCAGTGTACCGAAAGGAGTTCACAGAAAGCACTGCCTGACTACTCTAACAAGAAGCAAAACTACATGCAGATCACATTGGTAACAGCAAACAAATTTCAAAGCATAAAAATGTTTATTTTCCACAAAAAGAATTTTCAGAGAGATAATAGTAATAATAATAACAACAACAACAACAACAATAACTAGTTTATGTTTCAGACCATTTCATGCCCTGTAATCATGAATAAAATCTGTTAACTATGAAAGAGATAAAGTACAGGCAAATAAAAGAATTGGATTATTTAATGAATATACTTTTATTTTTCCACCTCCTTCCAGTAAAGGAAGCAAACATAATTTCTTTAAGAAAAAAGGATAGGTAAGCGAAGGTATAATGCATTTCGAAGAAAGTATAGCCACATTTTAGCAACTTCAAATTGGGGAAGGTGGCGGTTGGAAGGAAGTCTGTCATGCTTGATTGGTAATCGTAACACCAACAATATCTGCACTATGAATGAAAACATGGTTCTGAGCTTTCTTCAATAATAAAAGGCAAAAAGATAAAATATACCAAAGAGAAATCATATTTTGGGGTGGTAGAGAGAGAGAAAGGAAAGAAGTGTGACCAATGCCATCCAAAACCAAAAATGTAAATCAAAGAAAACAGAAACATTCGCAAGATTACAGAAAAAAATGGTTTTTTCATATATGAATTAAAGGTCAAAATCACCTTGAGGATACTCTCATAATAAGAATGAAATGAAGCAAATGATACAGCTACAGAAAAAGAAAGTAGAAAAGTAAATCAATTTTCAATGAAAATTTCCCAAAGATTTTAATTTGATAATATTAACACATGTCAAATAGCTAACTATACCTCACACTGCCCTCATTGTGACCAGGTTTATTGGTGTTGCAAATATTGCAGTTTGTACGCTTAGCCCAGTTGATGTTGCCACACCTGTAAAAAAGATGTTGAAATAACTGACATGAATAAGCTGAATTTGAGATGGCTTTTCATTCAAGTATCAAAAACACACTCATTTCCAAGCAGTTGCATGGTGGAAGTGTTACAAAGTGTAAGACACCACCAGCCCCTCTGGTTTGGACATAATTTGAACAGTCCATGTAACAAGACCAATTTACATACTCTGGCAAAGTATTAGAGACTTATCACTTGGGCGTAGCTCAAATGGTAAGGGAGTGATGGTGTTAGGCTAGAGATCATAGGTTCAAGCTGTAGAGATCACTCTTGTACCCCCCCAAAAAAACCTTGACTAGCCATGTGCAATAAAAGATTTCCATTCAAATTCTCCGAAAAAGTAACCAGAACTGCATCCTAAAAGAGATATAATGAAGGGACATGTGCACATATAGGAAAACCAGTAGATGCTTGTGCTCAAACACTAATGTCAAACCTGAGTTAAAGCAGAAGCCTATATATCACAAATCTGCCTACTTGGCTTTATGTTCTGCAAGGCTATTAGGATTTTAGATTTGGGATAAAGTGTACAACTAGATATAGGATTGAACAGGATTGTTAAAAGATTAACAAAAATGGAGAATAAAAATCTATGCCTAAAATCACACAAGGACGATAAGAAAAGAAAATATTTCACTTAAGCATTAGAAGTCATACATAGGACAAGGCCAATCATTTGGGCCAAAAAGTCCACCAGTAGCACCAACTGCTCGGCCATGACTTCCAGAGTCGGGCACCACATCCCCTCCCACAACCACCAGCCCCTCCACTGCCACCAGATGCACCAGCAGGTCTAGCAGCTCCACAGCGGTTGCAAACACCACGGAAGGAAATATTGACATTGGAACAACTGTAATCAAATGAATTAAATGAGGAAGTATATACATAACAATCAGAGTTAAAGACAATTGAAAAGAAAATGTTATAAAAGAGCAAGAAGAAGCTGCTCACCAATATCACATCACAGACCTTGTATTTGGACATAGCCAGTGTCCCTCCCGTTGCCACGTTTTTCCTGAAGCATCACCCTGACCTCTACCCCTTCCACCACTCCCATTCATATCCTTAGCCACATCTCCCTCCAATCCACTACCATCACCAACCAAAGTTGGAGGATCTGCAGCAGCATGACCACTCTTACTCTCAGCTATAAAAACACCTATTGTGCTCCCATGAAAATCTTTGCTGTTAAACCATTCAACAGCAGCCAATGCAGCATGCGGATCCTCATAAGTAACCGTAGCATCTCCTTTCGGCTCATTTGTCACCTTATCTCGATATAACCATATCTTAGGTCTCCCAGTTCGCTTATCTTTTTATAAAATCAGCAAAAACACAACAATAAGTGATAGATACCACACGCAGCTGTATATCTTTTGTTTCTCAATTAAAGGTTTATACCTTTATCAATCCAATGGTTCCAAAATATTCGGCTAACATAGTTTCATCGGTTCCCTCAGGTAAATTACAAACATAGACGGAACCATTTGTAGGGGCTCCTCTTCCTGAATTGCTTGCCATTGTTTCTCCAAATTCCTCAAAAGCCTTCTAGAAAGTTCTAAGGAAAATTAAATGCTTAGCTAAATTTATAATTAACAATAAATGCAACAAAAAAGGAAAATAAAGAAAAATGCTTAACTGATACTGCATGGTGTCATTAACAGAAATTATTATAATATTTATTATCATAGCGACTCAAAAAAATAAGACAGATCGCACCTTAAATTTTTTTAAAAAATAAACTAATTCGAAATTTTAGAGAAAAATAATTAATTGAAATCGCAAACGGTTAGCGTAATCAGGAACATAAGATAAAGATCTGACGCCTAAGAATTAAAATTGAGGGAAAGGAGAAATGGTATTCTCACTGGTTGTGGGGACGCATGCGGCGGCGCCAGAAGATGGAATATGTAAATGTGATGACAGCGGTCGTTTTGTCGCCGGCGAAACCGGTGGTTTCTCTTCTCTTCTTCTTACGACTTATTAAGGGGGTTTTTTGTTTACGAGTCTGCTACGGTTTTGTTGTTTATAATTAATTGAAAAAATGTAAACGGAAATGAGTGGGACTTTTTTATTATTATTTTATATATGCATTTATTCTTTTCATCTTAACTTCGATTATTTTTAATTTTATTTTTTCTTGTATTTATTTAGTACTTAGGTGAGGGTGCTCGTGCGTTTTCCTGAGTTAAATTATTTTTCATTTCTTCGTTCATATTCATCGTATTTTTTAAATTTTATTTAGTTTAAAAAAATAAAAAAATCCAAATGTAAGTGAACACAAATATCTAAATTGATTTTTTATTTTTTAAAATATAAATTATTAAAAACATTTTATTAATTTTTGCATATATGATTTACTTAAAATTAAAATTAAAAAAATTAATAAATACATATATAAATATAAAATTAAAAAAATAAAATATATACTTTTATATATATTACATGATAGTTGGAATCCGTCCCTCAATTTCTATTAAAAAATTAATTCGAATTGATTTGATATTAATTTTTTATAAAAATACTCCTATCAAATTAAGATAATAAATTTATTAAATATTAATTATTTTATCATATTTATTAATTATTTTATTTTATTATAAAATTATCTAATTAAATATAAAAAAAACAAACGGACGATATACATTCATCTTTATTAACTTTATTTTTCAAAAAGTGATCTAATTAAAATAATAATAAATAAAAAAAACAAAAACAAAAATTAAAAAAAAACAAAAAAATACTTGCTATCGAATTAAATTTGATTGAAATTCCTCGTATAGAAATTATTTGTTTATCCATCAGCCTTTTTTATTACAAATTTATGTAATTGAAAAATAAAATAATGAAATAAAAAAAACAAAGGTGTCGATGAACACTTCAATTAAATTTTTTTAATAAATTTATATAAACAAAAAATTAAAAAATTTATTAAAAAAAAACATAGGGCGTCACGTTAATATTTTGAATAAAAATGAAATAAAAATTAAAATAAACAAAAATTATATAATTGATGAATGACGGTGAAATAAAAATAAAAATAAATAAAATTTATATAATTGATGGATGGATGAATGTATATATTATATTTTAATTATTTATAAATATATAATGTTTATCTTTAAAAGAAGTAAAAAAAAAAAAAAAGAAAACTTGGCGTGAATTGGATCACACTTTTAAAAAATAAAATCTACTAAAAATATTTATTAGTTAAAAAAATTTGGCAAAAAATCAAGGAAAAAAAAAAGGAGCACTAGGTGGTACCCTTGTCATGTGTAGATAAAAAGGTTAAAAATAAGAAAGTTTAATATAAAGCAAGTCCCACTTTTAAAAAATAAAATCAATAAATTTTTTTAAATATAAAAACATTTTGTTAAAAACAATAGGGAAAAAATTAAAAAAAAAAACAAAAGAAAAATAAGGAAGTGCCGCATGGCAGACATGACACCCATTGGTCATGTACGGCCCAAAATTAATGCTTAGATATCAAATATCCATCCCCAAATTACTACAACATAAATAAAAAGTATGTATTTCTGCAACAAACAATTAAAACGCTAAAATTGAATCAAGTCCTCGTTACCAGTTTGTGAAATAAAATAATATGAATTATAACATAATATATTTTTTTTATTTTACATCCATTTTGATGTTTGATATAAAATAAACCGATTTAAATATTCGAATTAACATTCTTATCGACAAACAATATGGATGATGATCTTGAATTCCTCATTTTCAACTTAAAAAATTTACTAATTCATACAAAAATTAAATAAAACAAGGCAACATCAACCTTCTGGCATTTTGAAATATAACAAGATATATAATTATATAAGGCACAAAGTAATTTGTTTATAAGATGATATTTCCATTTAAGAAGGTTTTGGGAAGGTTACTTTTAAAATTGTAGCTATTCAAGATGATGATAAGATACTCCATTGAAGCCAACGTAATGTTGGAACTATTATCCATACATAAATACTCGAATTACGTGGATTAAGAGCAGCTGCATTGATGGTTTGAGGGTTTAAGTTTAACCCTTCAATGGGTGGCTGCAGTGTTAACTATATTGGTCACGATGAATGGTCCAATGAGTTCTACTTTAGCAACAATTGCTGCCTAAAACTTTTGGTGGGATCAGCCTTCCAATGGTGGCACTTCTACATCTTGGATGGCTGTCAGCTTTGCCTTACCACCGTACTCGACAGGCACGGTTTCCTCACCTATTTCCTCTATAAAGGATTTCTTCTCGTCTTCATTCGTCACAATTACAATCTGCATTCGTTGTTGCAAATCAAGCCAAGTCGGATATAACACAAGATAAATCTAGTTCACTATAACCATAATCCAATTAACTATATTCCATGTTGAGAATGATAGGCAAGCCAAATTAGCCAGTTGGGCATATTGATCCCTATTTTTCGGGTATAAAGATGCGCTAAACTCCTTGTTGCAAACATACATCAACCACCATTCAAAAATATAGTAAATACCTTTTCCAGTGTTGCCTTCTCAATGAAGCGAGAAACCATCCTCCAAACGCTGACAAAAAACCGTGGCATATGCAACATGTAGCACTTTGCTAAGCGCTCTGGGAAATATGCCTGCATGAAGTGAAGGTTAGAACCATGTAACAATCAAAATTGGCATTAAATTTACAAAACAGAGCTTAGACTTAGAGATGAATTCTTTTTATTATCATTCAGGATTTAGGAGATTTAAGTAGCATTAATCTAAAAAAGAACAAGCAGGGTAAAGAGACAAAAGGACAGACATGATACGAATTGCGAGACAAAATGGCCCAATTCTTAATTTTAAAGATTGCTTTCATCTGATTCTAAAACATGACCTAATAGTCAGATTATACACTACATTAACCAGAAGACAGATATCATGCACCAGTATGTCGTTTAATACGATTATATGCTTACTACAGTGCCATTTGTTTCTAAGATGGAAGCAAATGTTTTAGTATGTCATTTAGTAAGATTCTGGTTACTAGGATCTATTCGACACAGATAACATACATTACTAGGCCCAACAAAGTTAATAAGGATTCAAGATAACAGGAAAAAGTGTTCTGAGCTTCATCCTGATTTTATGAATATGGAATGTTATTCTGTAGTTGGCATGGAACATTTAGCTTGTTTGTACAATAACTGACATAAAAAACAGCTCAGTAACTCAAGTGACCAATCCTCCATGGAAAAGGAGACCAGATGCACCAGCCAACGATTAGTGTTTCTGCATCTGTACATGCAATTAATTGGTGATTTTTTCTTTACTTGGGTTAGTTATTTCTTTTATTAGGCAATAATCTGGCAAAGCTGAATTCCTCGGCATTCAAGTTTAATCTGGAGAAACAAGTTGCAATTAAAGCAATGTCCAAAGCCAAGGAGATGACCATAGACCAAAGTAAAAGCAAAATTAGAAGACATGGAAAAGCTTCCATCCATTTAGCACGTGAAGAAACTTACGGTCTATTAAGTGAAAAAAAAAAAAAAAAAAAGCTAGAGTGATACAGGGTTTAAATTAGGATGAAGTCTTCAATGAGGCCCCAAGGGGATGCTGAAGTCATTAGGCTGGAAATTTTGACCAACCAGGTTCTCCACTAAAACCTAACTCAGGTTCCAGAAGCCTATAATCCAGAGAGAATAATATGACATGAAGTATTGTTCTTTTGAACATATTTTAGAAAACATACATTACCTGTAAGAACTGAAATCCGGTTATTAATCCACGTGCATCAACATTTTTGTATGTAATTTGTTGAAAATCAAGAATGCCAATCAACTTTTCATTTCCTATTTCTCTTCCTTTCACAGAGCTGAATACAGACAACTCACCGAGTCAAAAATATAAGAATAAAGCAAATAAGCAATATCAAATAGATATGAATAGATGAATCTTGGAGCCTGTATTTCAAAACAAATTACTTTCTTTTTTTTTTGGTGTTTTTACTGCAGAAACATTCTTCATATATAAAACAGAGTTCTACCTTGCTATAGTTTTGTCTAGCAGATAAACCACGAACTCTGCATCAAGAGATAGACGAAGTTAACCAAACTTCACAAGCTGGCTAATGTTATGAGCATGTAATGAGAGATAACCAATTTCAAATTATTCTACCATTTTAGTACTAATAGTCATTGGCATCAGGGTAATGCATGTTACCATGTAATGTAGGCTTAGTAAATCACATGAAATCAGTGGAGATATCTGCTCCCAATAACCAAAGAAGGTCAAAGTAACACATTTAATAACAGAAGGGCAATTGCTAGGAAATAAGCATGTCATACCACAGCAGCTGCATGATACCATCCATAAACTGTCATACTAGGTTACTCACCAATTAGTGGCGAAGCCAGATGTACAGCTTTGTTAAATCTTCTGTTAGTCAAGAATTGAAGGCCAATCTATTTATGCAGTCAGATGTTCCTCTGCCATTTAATTTCAAAGTTTGTTCACTACGGACCCTAAAATTTCAGGTTTTGTTCCAATTCTAAAGTCGCTACTAAGAATAAAGTAGTTTAAGTATGCTTGAATAGACGGTCAAATGCTTGAATAGACGGTCAAAAATCAAAAGCCTCCTCTAACAAACATGTCTCTAAGGTATTTAGTGAATAAAATTTTGCAACATAAAGGACATTTATGAGCTACCTAAAATAATAAATAGGATTTAAAAAGTTTTGGACCCCAGTTTTATGTGGCTTCCCCATTATGTCCCTCCTTTATGATGAAACCTTCCTGTCCTGACCCCTTCAAAGCCATATCAGGATAATCCTGATCAAAAGTCATCATTTCAAAAATGGGAATAGAATCAAATTTCAGGCCAGCCTAATCATAACTCTATAAATATGCATGAATTAGGAGCAATTTTCTTTCCTTATGGAAAAAACAAAAATTACAGTAAATTATAAGCAAATTGAAAAATCATGATAAAGAAGAATGAAAGCAATGAGCTAACTGAATTACTCTTGAACTGGAGAATGTCCTTGGGAGGATAATGCTTGCATCCTTTGACAATTAGAACTGGATATCCTGTCTTTGATAAACCTTGCAAAAAAACCTTTCTGGCTTCCAATTGATCCGGCACTTCAGATTCTGCAATGAACCCATTTGGAACAAAAGAAGACCTCCATTTCAGCCACTGGACAAACATCTTTGAAGCTTTTTCTGCGTCCATTGATCTTGCAATCAAGAACCTCATGATTGTTGGATCCCCATAATTCTACAAAAAGAACAAAAAAAACACACACAGAGTTAAAAGAAACAAATAAAAGCGAAAACAAAAAAGAACTGAATTGAAGTATAAAAATATAGCGTTTCTGTCAAAAAGAGTATCGGTTATTTACCTCAGTTGAAAAGCCAAGCTTTTCAACTGATTTCCTCATCTGGGTCAGTGCAAGTTCCTGGCTTTTCTCCATGTTAGCACACAAAAAACCTGCTTTGGCTTGTTAGAGAGTGATTGTGGAAAACACAACACACACACACACACACACACACAATCACACACAAAAAGAACTTAAGATTACAAAAGAAAAAGAGTTTGACCCAGTTTTGCTTTATAGTTTTAAAAAAAAAAAAAAAACTTTAAATGCAAGAGAGAGAAAGAGGGAGGGGTTAGATTTGAGTTTTGACAAAATGGAAGAAAAGAACGTGAGTAGAAAATGACAAAGAGAAAACCAAAAAAAGTTAAAAAAAAGATGACAGAGAATAGGGTGTGCAGTTGGCAGAGGAAATGTTGAAAGCTGAGAGTGACAAAACAAATTGGTTGGCTGTTGCTTTGGGAGTTATGTTCCATCTTTGAAACTTGAAGGCAACATTTCTCAATTTGAATAAACAAATAAATTCTCCTTCTTTTCTCTCACGCCAAAAAAAAAAAAAATCGACCTCGTGGAAAATTGAAAGATAATTAAACCGATTAGGTTGGGAAGCTTTGTTTTGGCCACAAAAGCAAGCAACAGCTCCAAAGCTTAAATATCATTTTATTATTTATTTATGTTTAAGTTTAAAAAAAAAAAAAGTAAGATAAAAAAAATTCAAAACTCTGATTTTTTTTTTTTTTTGGTTACATAGAGAACAACAAACTCTGATTTAAATTTTTGTCAATTATATATATGCATTTGATTAAGTGATAAGTGTATTCACTTTTTTTCAGATAAAAAAAGCTTTATTTAAAGTACTAATTTATTTTTATAAAATGTAAATATATAATTTTATTTTTGTATAAAATTTGACTTATTGATGTAAAAGATTATTTTTTTCCAACAATTCTAAATTTTGAAAATTTCGAAAAATTATGTGATAAATTTGTATATTTGAAAAGTTATTTCATACAAAACTTGACCATTCATATGCATGTAAGATAATAATTTTCATAGAGTAAGGATTCGTTTATATAGTGTAAAATTTAAAATATTTTACATATTGTTTTTATTTTTTATTTTAAAAAATTTTTAAAAAGAGAGAAATAAGTAAAAAAAAAACAAAATAATTTAATCCCATTCATTAAATTTATTGAAATCAATAATTGAAAAAATGTAAAACTAAAAAAATTTTAAACTGTATAAGTTGATTCCTATTTATTTTAATATATATTATTAGAGTTTATTTTTTATAAACAATAATGAAATTTTTTTAATTTTCAAATTAAAAAGCTCTTAAAATGTTTTATTTTTAATTTTTTTATATTTTAAAAAGTATCTATCATCCTATTAATTTTGATCGTGAATTTTTTACTATAATCTTAAAAATTATAGTAAATAAAATAATTTCTAATATTATTACTATATAATGAAATAATGATAAGGAAATATGAAAATTAGTCAAAACTCAAATTAAGTTTGATAACTGTTCTGGCAACTGACTTTTCTTTTCCGTTCCTTTTTTTCCATTGTGAAAATAAATTTCAAGATTCGATTTTGCACGTAATTATTCTGAAGTGTGAAGAGTAAAGAAGGACACGACAAAAACAACAATTTCCATAGTAAAAGAACAAATTTTGGGTTGCTTTTAGCAAGGGGAATACTCTGGACAAAGAATATTCCATGCATGGAAATGGAATACCGAAAGGCAAAATCTTTATGGACGAAGCAATTTCATTTAGTTAGAGGATCGTCTAATCTCTGTCTTACATTCTTTTAACGTTCCCTAATCCTACAATCTATACCAGACAAGTCAAGACACTTAGATCCATCCCCACTAGTAACAATTAATTATAGCAGTTGGAGGGAGGTGCCTAATTCGAAGTGACAGAACTCGAAATTACCCTAACCCAAAAAAAAACAAGTTTAATCTTTTCAACTACCCAGAATAACATACAATCCAGTAATTCCAATTTTAAAAAATTGATAGATTAAGCATTTTTTTTCATAAACAAAAGTAAAATGCAATTGACCAACACTCTTTTTCTTCTCAGTTTTTCTTTCCTGATTTTGAGGAAAGAGGGATTAATCGCTCCGGCCCGGCCCATGATCATATGATGGAAATCTAAGGATGTAGACATCATCCCATTCTTTATTAAAACAAAAACGTGTAAGGAAGTGCGTGTGTAAAGACATGTCCAACCAACCATCGAGGAATTGTATATGTCCATCTCTACAAACCATTCAGCTAGTGCGCGAGAGAGAAGGTAAGAGAATAAAATGGGGCAAAAGTACACATTGACTCATTTGAGTAATAAATAAATGAGAATTCTAACATCACTAGACTAGACCCAAATACTGCACAATTACGTTGGCAAGATGCCATCATAATTTCAAGCTATCAGTCTAACACAACTTATTTTTCCTACAGACTAATTAGGGCATAACCATTATAGGATAGACGCAAGCAGACGCCATCACCCTAAATGTACAAAAGAGAGCAGAGTTAAGTTCCTGCTCTTTAGAATTGCATATACCGGGTGGCTTCACATCATAACACAGTCAGGTAAGGTTTTAGGAATTACGTCTATTGTAAAAATAAGATGCAACTTGAACCCTTCTGAACAACTGATTCTGCAAGACAATCTCTACCCACACACAGAATTCAGACAGGTATTCTCACCATGCAATGCCAGCCTGTTGTACAAGAGCATTAGAATTGGATTCAGTAAATACTCAATTATTAATAAACATTGTAAATATTGTCTACATGCGTGCCACAAGTATTTCCTCAAACAACACTGGACCTACTCCGAAGTATGTTAAGTTTGTTTGAGTAAAATGATTCGAGCCAGACATGATGAATGTCTATTTTCCGGAGTTCTATCTGATACAAACAGAAACCAAACTAGTTCCTATAATAAGCATGACTAGTGAAATGTTGATTCCTGGCTTTCAAATTCAAAGAACACTGTTGGCCTTCAGAAGTCAACAGAGCATATGGTAAGTTTTCATCAGAGAACGAACCAAGTGGCAAAACAGTTTCATCGAAAGAAATACCACACAAAAGCAACTAAAGGCCAAATCAACTTATGCACATGCATGCTGTTAAGCAAATCAAATTTATAAAAGACCAAACAAAATTACCTATTCTGTAAAAACACTCATGAGATCATTTGGAGGAAATTGTTGTAGTATTGGTATGCCCACTTTCGCATTATCCACAAATTCCATATTTGGCTCCTGCTTCACTCTGGTACCAATGTTCTCACTGAAGACATTTCCATGGCTAGAGCTGCTCATTGGTGATTGAAATTCATCAACAGAAAATCGGGTTGGAAGGCAAGCCCCTCTATTAATATATCCAAGATTATTAAAAGATGCCTGATCAAGCACTTCTCCAGACTTAGTAGAACCATAGGGACCCTGGACATCACATGTGCTATGGACAAATCCTGGCAAATGTCTCGATGCTTTAAATGTCATGCTTGAGGTTTGAACTTGCCGACTAGTACAATTGTCAGCATTCACAGAGCAAGATAACACAGCTGGAGAAACAGTAGTGGGGATGCACCCACTAAGAATGCCAGTAGTTTGGAGATCCACATCAGAGACTTGCCCAAAGTTCATTGAAGAATTATTTAATTGAGATGAAAGAAGAGTGTAATCAATAACAGCAGTCCTACTAAAGCTGCCATTTTGGTTTATAGAAACAGGACTGTTTCCTGCCTGAAAACTAGCAGATGGCTGAGAGGGTACAACAATGCAAGATGGCTGCACATGGATCGAACGGCTGGGCTCAGGAACAGTGGATTGCTGCTGCTGCAGCTGCTGTGGTTTCTGGAGTTCTTGTTGCTGTTGCTGCAACAAATCAATAAGTATGTTACCATTCTGAGAACTTAACCCTCCAAGACTGCTACTGGGACCTGCTGTACTAATGTTATTAGAGGACCATGCTCCAAATCCTGAACGAACATCTTCAACAGACACAATGGATTGTGGGAAGTGTTTGGAAATGCTGGATTGGCATTTTATCAAAGGTTGACCAAATGCCACACCATGCTCAACTGGAATGAACTTGGGCCCTTGAAGGGATGCTTGAAGAAAGCCTGGCTGGTCCATTGCCGCAACTAAATTACCAGCTGGTCGACCTAAGAGCTCAGCATGGAGGGCTGCCAAAGTTTGTGGAGAAATTTGTCCAGAGGCAGCCAATGCTTGGATGTCAAATCTTCCAACTGAACCAATTTTAACATTTGGTTCTATTGGCCCACAAAGTGGATCTCTAATTCCACCTTGTTGAGCCACCCCACTTATTCTCTTTAAGTATAGTCTGAATTTCTGCACATAGGGACCATAGTAACTTAGATGTTAAAATACAGTTTTTAACTGACTCAAGTAGCCAAATATATCTACAGGAAATAGATACTTTGATATGCATATAATTTTCAAAAGAACGCAGATATTTAACAGGCTTCAAACTCCTGAACAGGTTATATATTCAGTAATGGCATCAGCTCTACACTGCAGGCAAAGCCTCATATCACAATCATTAACCCAAAATTGACTAGCAAAACGAAGTACAACAATGCGCAACACTATGAGAACTATCAACCATTATAATTGTTTTTTATATATCCTCAAAGCACAATTATGAGATCCAGTTCCAATCAGATAAAACATGAATCAACTAATCCTCAAAAGGAGATAACTTCAAAAATTCACAAGATGTCAAATAACAGCACAACATGTTATGCTGGCCTGTACAGGTTATATTCAGTGCTCACTTCAACATATAGCAGCTGGCAGGTAGTCCTGCACTCAAGGCAAAGCCTCAAATCATAATCCAACTTAAAACCAATCGTGACTAGCAAAAGAAATACAAAAATGAATAACAATACAAGCCTTACTCATCAAATAACATTTTGACTTTTGTTATGTTTTTTTTTTTTTTGCTTTTTTTTTTTCTTTTTAAACTCAATTATGAGATCCACTTTCACTCAGACACATCTAACTTGAATCAGCTAATCCAGACTTTCATAACTTCACCACATGGCAAACAATAATATACAACACATCATGTAATATTATGCTGTGTCCCAGATTAGCATGACTTTAAACCTTTTAAAGCTTTTATCACAATCAAATCTAGACAATCACCTGAAATTAATAGGATTTCCAACCAAATTGAGATTTCGTTAAATATAGTTAATTATGACTCATATCCCATTAACTTAACATTAAAATGGCCTTATACAGATAACATCACAACAAACAAATATTGGAATCAGAAATTTATAAAACTTCAATCTTTATGGAAGAAGGAGGGGCTAATGGATTCAAAGTAAAATTGACTCATACAGATAACAGCACAACAAAGAAATATTGGAATCAGAAATTTATAAAACTTCAATCTTTATGGAAGAGGAGGGGCAATGGATTCAGAGTAAATGTAAATTAAAATCAGAGTATGGTTGTTAGGTCTAAGACACTTGTTTGAACCCAGAACTCCCATGACATTCTAGCTAAGCAAGTTTTGAAAAAAAGAAAAAACCCAAAAGCCATCACTATATTAAGTTACTTATTACAATAACTAATGGGCAGGAAGTATAAGATCTAATAAATCAGAAAGTAGAGAAAGACCAAAAACAACAGAAAGAGGCAATATTTTCTCTATTGCTTAAAAAAAAAAACATGTAGAGCATAGAAGAATATATAAAGCATTCATAATAATCAAAAATGAAATGAAATATCAACAACAAACCATCAAAGCTTTATTATTAGCCAAAATCTAAATGTCTAAAATGGATAGGGGATGTGCAAGCAAAGCAACAATCAGCTGCTTTTAAATAGTGCACTCAAACACAGAGCTGAGAGCCAATCTTAAAATGCTCAAATACATTTATGATCAGTCCAAATTACTAGAAAATGAAAAAGAAAAAGACAAAAAGTACACACATGGTGAAGAACCAAACCTGCAAATGGCTTGCAACATTTTCTCTAGTTAAACCAGGCACATTCATTAGCTCAAGAATTCTCTTGGGAACAGCCTCTGAAATAGCAGCCACAATGTTTTAGTAAGCAATAACACAAAGAAGCAATTAGTATTAACTATTATATTTTGAAGATTGCACAGAATGCAAAATGCTATCCCCTATACCCATTCAACATCTTAAGAAAAATAACATAAAAGCAATAAATCATTGGAGATCATACTATCAATCCCTAGCTGGTTTACAGCACCGACAAATTGTTGGTGCAGTTCCACTGACCAAACAACACGTGGTTTCTTTGATGTGGATGGATCATCATTCTCGATTTCACCATCATCCTCTTCTTTGGCATTGCCCCTCTTTTTCTGAGGTTTCAATGATAAATCAGCCCCGTCATTGACAGAAGAAGCATATTCAGCATCATCATTTCCTCGTTTCTGCCGATCATTATCATCTAAGCTTCCTGAATGTTCTAGCTCTTTATTCTCATTCAAATTCTTCCTAACAACATGCTGCCATATGTTCTTCAGTTCTTCCTCACGTATGGGCTTAATCAAATAATCACAAGCCCCATGTTTTATTCCCTTCATAACAGCACTTGTTCTTCCATCAGCCGACATCACTGCAACAGGATTCATCGTGTTAATAAACAGAATCAATATATATATATATATATATATATAAATCTTTAATGGGAAACGAAAGAATACTTACTAATTACTGGAAGATCCATTTCAAGCCCAACATGTTCAAGGAGTTTATAACCATCCATATCAGGCATATAAACATCACTAAGCACCACATCGAAACACCCTTTTCTCTCACGTAAAAGATTGAGGGCAGCTTTGGCTTGCGAGCAAGTAGTAACTGCACAAAACGAACTCTTATATTTTTTAAAAAATGAAAAATTGAACAAACATCAGAACATTTCACACTGCTCACAAATAACAAAATTAAGATGAATCCAAGATATTAAAAGAGACTCCTTTTGTTTGTTTGATAGCATAGAATCTAAGACACGCAAAATGTGGACACCAAAGCAAATACAAAGACGAATTTTTGAAGAGTACAATACATAAAAATTGTAACTTTTGTTAAATAAAAAAATCCGTGATTTCACTTTTGTAGGGAAGAATTAGGTCGAAATTCGGGTTGTATTCTAGAGTTTTGATAATTTCAAATCAATTATAATTTTGTTTTTCCCCGTTTGTTTAAAGCTAACAGCCACGAAAATATAATCAAATTTACGCTTAATTCGAAACGAAAGTTTCATCAGCAGAAAATGCATGAAAAAAATATATATATGTATTAAATTTTAAAATGCAAAATTAAGTACCGGTATAGAGGCAACGGCGAAGCATCTGCTCGAGAATCCTTAAGCAAGTAATGTCATCGTCCACAACTAGAACCCTCAAACCAGCCGGAAATCGATCGGAGATCACAACCTCCACTCCTTTGGAGGACGGAGAGACACCATAGCTGCTGGTGGCAGCGGCGCTCGTACTCACACTCGACTGCACCACTCTCTGCACGGCAGCCATAGCCAACAACACAACTCACTCAGACATTTAACTAAAAACCCTAGAGTTAAAGTCGTTCTCTCTCTCTTTATGACTCCAATTCATCAACAGAAGAAACAATTGAAACAGAAAGAGAAAGCGAAACCCTAGAAATGGAGGACGAAATTGAAAGAAACTAAGAAATTTAAAAGGTTAGAACCGGGATCAGATCGAGGAGAGAATCAAAGAAGGATAAATTAGGAAGTTTTTATTTTCTTTGACGTTGAATTTCTCTCTCGGTGATCGACAGAGGGTTGAAGAACGCAGAAGAAATAAGAAAAGTGGTCGAGAGTAGAAAGATAATGCGAAAATTAGAGAAAAGCTGTCCTTCTCTGTTTTTTGTTTTTTTCTTTAATTAATTAATTTATCATGAAATAGAAACGGAAGGAAATAATTGGAGTGATTTGGAGAGGCTTGAAGCGAAAGGTGGGACCCAGACAAGCTAGGGGAAGTCAAGCTCAAGCACAGTGGCTGACGAGCTTTTCGCGGTCCGCGAGTCGTCGGTTTCACTCTCCCACAGTCTGGTGTGGGGGGCTCAAGCTAGTGCAAGTAGGGTTCACCCAAGAACCGAAGCTTTTTTATGAATTACTCCCTCTGTCTTTGTTTTTTTTATAACGTTTCAAAATTATGTTTTATTTTTTATTTTTTTAATTTTATAAAAAACTTAAATTTTAATATTAAATATTAAAATTAATTTTTTTAAATTTTATATAAATTAATTCATGATAAATATTTTAAAAATAAAATAGTATAATTATGTCGTTCATTCCTTAGAGCTGAGCTTTAGATTGGAAGCAAGGAAACCCATTTCTTATATATGGATATAAAAAATTATATTTTTATATAAATACAAATTATATTACATAATTTTTATATAAAATATAATATTAATATAAAATTTATTAATTTTATTAAACACAATTGCACGAATTATGAAATTAATGAGAGGATACAATTATCCAATTTGAAATAGCCCCTGTTTTCTCCGGTACATCTCCTATTTGACCGACAAATTTTTTATTGTAATACTGTAGGTGAAATATATGTTTTATGTCAATTAATTAAAAAAAAAAAGAAGTCAGTCCAAAATTTGATAAAAACAAACCCAGAGGTTACAATCGTGGCACCTTATCTTTAGAGTATCCGAGGCCGAACGACTCTGGTTCGACATATATCGAATGGTCTATCATCCATGCTGAAGCACATAGGAAAATGGGCTATGCTATCCTCGCTTTCCATGCTACCCATCCTCTCTAAGGTAGGCAACTCTTCAAATACTAATCAAATCTCCACCATTAAAGCTTTTAAACTGAGCAATCAAAGAGCTCTGCCCAGAACTTGCTGTGGTGCAAGGAGAAGAGTGAGATATGAGGATGAAGATGATGAAAGGGGTGAAGAAGAACATGGCTACAATGAAGAGATTGCAATGCTTGAGTTGTACAGTCAGTCTGCTAGAGGAGAAGCTCTTCTTGTTCATGCACTAGTGGATGAACAAGAAGTAGAAGTCCTTATCTTCAAGGTCGTTTCATCAATTTTTTTTTTTTAAATTGTTATCTATTTACTGTTGAATTTCAAGTCTTTCTCATTGTTTTCTTCAAAACTTTACAATTATTTCAGGGGTTCTCCTCATGTTTGAACTATGGGACTTCACCAGATCCATCAAGGAGTGTAATTCCAGCTAGAGCAGTGATAAAGTCCATTGACAGAATCAAAGGGCCTTTTGATCCCTCCAACGTAGAATACATTGAGAAAGGTCTCAAATGGGAATCTTTTAAGACCCGCCTAGGTGCCTAGCCCCTACCCCTAGCAGAAAAGTGAGGAATCTTGATATTGGTCACCATTTTTGGAGATGCTGTGTCACCATTTCTGACAGTAATTTCTCCGGTCTTTCTGGCAGCTATAAATATAACAGAATGAGTCATGCTGTTGATTATGAACTTTCTTCACTTTTGTCTTATTCAACCTATGCAATTTGTTCTTTAAAAGTTAATTTTGAGGGGTTTCTGCATTTATAAAGGCTACAATATATGCTTAAGACTATAATTTTGGCTAATTGAACATTTTCCAGGGCCAACTTGCTCATTGAATTGCCCACAATCACTGTTGTCGGATCTGACAAAAGAAATGACTGGTTGCCTTCTGAGTATACCCCCAATAAAACACTTGCACATGCGGGGCCATACAGGCTGCACATTTTTAAAGTGAAATTACATTGTTGTCAAACAACAAGGGCTTAAATCTTATCAGGTTTTTGTATAATCTTGCAGTGCTCCAGCTTGCTGTTGCTTCTGCTGGAAGATAGACATTCAGAAATGAAGCCCATAGTGCAGCAATGCATGATCTTTAAACCATAGGGGGGACTTGTAAAATTTAACCAAGTGCCTGAAAAAAATAAAATTTCAACTATGGCCAAGTTGGAGACGTTAGAAATTGCTGAGAGCATACCATATAATTGAAAATGGCTTGCTAGGTAGAAGGATCTGGTCGCCTTTAGTCAAGGAATTTATCCTTATTGTAAGACTGTTCAGTTCATGAGAAGAAACATAGATCTTGTTCACATGGTACCGGCTAATTATAGTCATTATTCTATTCAGAAATTTGCCAAATTGGGGTTTTTTCTAGTTTCTTTATGCAACAGAAACCTCAACTGGAATCAATAAGTAGAGCTTGTCATTTGCATGGACTCAATGTCCAATTAAAACTCTCAAAGAGGGAGGGAGAGAGAAAGCCAGATGGAGAAGGAAAACAAAGTGATGCTACTGGGAATACGTGCAAGTACAATCCTGTTCACAAGAGGCATCTATACTGGTTCACAATGAAAATCCCATTGTGGAGTCGCTTATCATCCTTGAATACATTGATGAAACTTGGAGAAATGGTCCTCAAAAGAGCCAAAGTTCGCCTCTGGGCTAGCTTCCTTCAACAGCAGCAGGTGAGAGTTCATCTATAAACTTGAAGATGATATATTGATACCCTGACTTCGCAGTTCTCAAGGGATTTCAGAGAGAAAGCAGTTAAAACCTATGCATCTTCATTTACCTTTAAGACTAAGGTATATATATGATCTTGGTCAGCACCTTGGAGAGGCTGTCTCGCTATGTTGTGGCAGCAAATAAAGGGTGTCGGAATTAGTTTTTCAAGATACACTCTACCGCTTAAATCAATAAAAATATCTAAGATTTGATGAGAAAGAAAATAAAGAGTATCAAGAAAGTTACAAAAAAATAAATGCTTAAGTCATACGTATCTGAATTTTTTTATATTATTTATGAAATAAAAAAAATAATTTGATCGAGATAATTAATAGTTGATTGTGAGTTTACATAAAATTTAAAAATAATTTATGTGAGTGATTATGTACTATCTTTAATAATTTTAGATAAATTAAAAATTAAATATTTAATTTTAAAGTGATGTATTAATAAAATGTTAATGAAAGTATTGATTGAGCTTTTTTTTTTAGCAAAAGACAAGCCAATTTTAAGATTAAAGTTTTATATGTGAACTCTTATCGATAATGATGTAGAAATTAAAACGGGCTGATTAAAGAATTAATTTTATTGACTGGATAAATAAATATAATAATTTTTAAAAATTTAATCTCAAAACATCACGATGAGACAAGAAAATTTCACCAACTGAACAAAATGTATCATGTAACTATAGAACCAATTTAGCCATGGTCTTTCCTTCTTTTTTTTTTTTTTAATCTTCGAGGTAAAGAATTTGGCTTTGATTTTTTGTTCGTGTTATTTAGCACATTGAATTTGGAGTATAGAGTGTTGGACTATCGATTAAGTGTGAATGCAAAAAGTTGAGAGTAGAGATATAATCGAATCGAATTGAATTGATATAATAAAAAATTTGAGTTTAAATTCGATTCTCAATTCGTGTTTCGATACTCGATTCGATCGAATTTTATTTTTATAACTTGAGTTCAATTCGTGATCAAATTCGAACTACTCGAATTAATTTGATTAAGTTCGAAAATATATAAAGATAAGTTTGATTTTTATATTTAATAAAAGTTCGATTATTTATGTTCGAGTTCGAGTTTGAATTCGAGATATTTTATTAATTAAAATAATAAAAAATATTTAAATATAAAAATTTGATTAAACTCTTGAGTTACTCGAACTGAATATAAAAATATTCAAATTCGATTAAATCAATGAATCAAACTATTCGAACCCAAACTCAACTCATTAATAATTAAATTAAATTTAAATTTTATTTAAATTAAATCTAAATAATTTATAAATAGTAACGTATTATTTAGATTCGAGAACATACAAATTTGGGAAAGGAAGGGCTCAGATTCCAATCCTCGCCGCATCGTGACGCTAAAATAAATATCTTCCTCGCATATCTGTGACGTGGCAGATTGGTCAGATATTTTCTCTCTTGGATTTCTGTTCGACACGTTTTTATCACTTGCACCGACGTGGACGCACACTGTTATCTCTTGCCACTTAATTTGTGTTTTATTACCAAATTACCACTCCCCCTTAGGTTTCAATATGAAATGATTCTTGCTTTGCCGGATGATTAATTCTTGAAAAATTAAGAATAAATCAGTCCTAGCACATCCATTATGTGTAATGAAATTAAAATTTGATTATTTAGATAAAATAAATATTGGATAATTTTATAATATTTTAAAAAGATAAAAAAAGAAGAATATGAAAATTTTTTCATTAAAACGAGACAAATATTTTATAATGAAAAAATAAATGGATTTTAAAAGTAGATTCTATTTTTTAATATGTAGTCTAATTAAAGAGCCAAAATACGTTTTTATATGTGTGTGTTGGATTCTAAAATTATCATTTCGTACATAAAAATAAGAAAAAAAATCTCAAAACTACAAGTTTTACAAAGTTGCAACACTTAGATTGATTATTTTTTATTTATTTATTATTTTGGAGAAGGGATTGAATTTGATCATTTACACAAGGAGTATAAGTATCTACTAATGAACCAAATACTTAATTATAATTTGATTAACATCTTATTAATTCTCAAAAAGTTTAACTTATATCAATGAATTCAAAAACCTAAGAACAATTAAAAATTAAAACAATTTTCATTTAGCGATCTTATAAAAAATAAATCTATGAGTTTTTTTTGTATATAACATAGGAGATGAATCGTTAAAAATTTAGTTAAATAATCTCGAACCCACAATTTTAACGAGTTTGATCGACATACATATCAATAAATTAATATTAAGTTGATTATATCTAGCATTGTTTATTACTCAAAAAAATTAAAAAAATAATAATGTTTTGATAAAACTTCATATTATATTGTTAACTTAATTTAAACAATACAAGTACAAGATAATTAAAAAAAATGAAAAAAAAAGAAAATTATTCTATAAATTGATAAAAATATTTTTTAACTTTGTAAACATGTTTAAAGGGTTATCACATGTCTATCAGAAAATTATAAAGTGAATTAATAAATTAATATAATTATTAAATGAACACTTGCCAATTATATAAACTTGCTTGTAGAGTAAAACTTCACTGTCACGACATAAACCAACCATACCAATAAAAAAGTAGTAAAGATTATAAACAGTTTCATGGATTATAAAGATGAATGCAAATATTATGTTCAAAATTTGTAAAGATTAGTTATGTCTTTAGAGTGGCAAGGTTCAACGGCCCACTCGAGTGCTACTTTGGATTCTCAAAGTACAGATTTTTTGCAGTTTACTTGTATTTGATTGAGTGGATAGTCGGCTAATATGATGAAACGTTAAGCAACTTAATTCTTACTTCTTAGAACATCCCCTTTTTAAGGGTTGAAAGTTGAAACCACCGTATAAAGCAACTTAGTTGTGTTTAAAATGTTATTATTATTTTTTTATGAACTTATAAATATAAATTATAATTATAATCAAGTATTATATTTACGGATAAAAAATTATTAAATAATTAAATAAATAAATTACAAGTTTACAACATAATTAGACAAATTAAATAAAAAATTAAATCAAATCAATACATAATAAAATTTAAACTGAAAATTTTAAAACCTTACCTTTATTGCTAAATTATAACCTTATTGACTAAAAAACTATTGTTATTATGTCAAAAGAAAATGATAAAAAAAGAAATTTTGATATATTTATGTGTCTCCACAATGGAAATGTTAGATATAGGCTAATTAGATTTGGTTCATAAATTGTAGTTTGTGTTATTCGTTTTTTTTTTCTTAATAAAAAGTTAAAAATAAAAAATAAAAATTAAAGAGCAAATAACAAAAAAGCAAAATACGAAACACTAATAAAATAAAATTTTAAAATTTCCTCAATCATCTTTTTATTCTTCGAAGTAAATTTACTATTGCATTAGATATTTTTGTTTGATAATAGTGTAAATATTTTTACTCAACATAGTTCAAGTTGCCTTCGAGTTCTATTTCTCAAATTAAATAAAATATTAATAAGCTTCCAACATTTCAATTTGAACTTATAAATTTCTGTTTTTTAAATTGCAACAGGCAGATCCGAACACGGCCATAATTCAAAACAGTAATGATTTAGGGGAGTAAGTGAGGAGGGTAAAATTGCAAAAATGGTGGGTAAAGAAGGGCATTTTAGATAAGAGAATTCAGCGCATAAATATCTCCAAATAAAACAAAACTTGAAGCAGGGAAAGCAGAAGCCCGCACCCCATAGAAAAAAAAAATGCAAATGTCTAATGGGGAAGAAGTGATGCAAAGCAGTGGAAAACGGCGGCGATTTTCAAAAGATGAAGAAGAACAACGACATATGGAAGAAGAGGAAGATGACGACGATAATGGAGAAGAAGAAGAAGAAGAAGAAGAAGAGAGCGAGCTTCGATTGAAATCTGTTGTATTACCCTACAACTCCGACTTCTTTCGTTGTTTCCGATGCTCTTGAACCTGATTTCCCCATTATTTATGTCAACAAGGTCTTCGAGGTTTTCACTGGCTACCGAGCCGACGAAGTCCTTGGCCGGAATTGGTAAGATATTTTA